TAAGTCTTTTGACATTTATCTGCAGAATCCCAATGAGTCGTCAATAAAGCCGATGGCTATGATACTTCGGCTTGTGAGTTTGGTTCGAGTTTGCATTTCATAAGCTCCGACACTGGTTTGCCGCATGTTATTCCTTGGATGCCTCAAATCTTTCATCGTCTCGAACAAAGCAAGTAGACCATAAGGTTGACGGAAACTCGGGGACTGCGCCTATCTGATGAGCCCCAAGAAGGGCGAAACCGGTTGTGGGCTGTCGACGGATTTTCAGCAACCTTATGAGTAGTGCATTATCAATGCTAGTCTACTTTTAGGATTATGCTTGAAAATTAAAGTTCACACAAATCTGTCTATGCTTATCAGCTTATCGCTCGTGCGACGATATTGTGGTGACAGTACCACCCAAAAGTGTTCCGATCGTATTAGTGTTTCGTATGAAAATTCCCACTGACGCGCACTGATTTGGTTCCAATGGGAAACTCGACCGTTTCCTAGCTGAATCTCTCGTTCATGATTTTCTCGGAATGCTTCATAGAGGCCGCCCCATGTTTCAGTTGGCAAGATAGCTGAGGTGTCGCAATAGGGACAATGCTCAGTAGGTGGGCTGTGGAATGGCTTTCAGTAACCATATGAGTAGTGCATTGTGTCAAGAGCGGATGAGCATCGGCCCTCAAAACTGTCGAGTGTTCAACTGCCGACAATTTTGGAGGGAAAACGCAACCTTACGAGTAGTATATCTCTTTCTGTTCCAGCAGGCTCTTGTATCGTACTTCATTTATTCATTTGCGTGCAATACCCATCTGGGATTGGGCAGGTTCATTTAAAACACTAAAAAACAAAGTTAAGTGATAGGTAAATAAACATGGAAGTAGCTAATGACCCTTTTAGCATCGCGCGCAACTTGCTCAAGTTCAATACCAAAGCGATCGAATCTTTCACCGAATCTGCGAGGGGAGCGATTGCAACACTTAAATCTTTAGCCTAGAATTAAAGCCTGGTTAACCTGTTAAGCGCCACTCCATTAAAATATGAGATTTGTGACCGTCACCGAAGATAGGAAGGTAACAAAGTGACCCTACTGGAACACAAGTGATGTATTTGTAGGCAAACTCGTACCTATTCCAAATGAAAATTCTCACTTATAGGAGTACCGTCATTTGCCTGTATTTTCTTCCGTGTGATGCGTCACTGAATGGCATCTGTATGTACTGGAATGCTTCTCAACAATATCACGCTGAAAATAATGCATTTCTGGTCATTTTTGTCTATGCGAAAGGTCATATCATTCATTAGGCTGACAACGAAATGTCTTTCAAGCTTAAATTTTCCTTCTATAATTTAACGTGATGCAGCTGTTAATGTGTTTATTTTTAGCGCTGTTGGTGTAGACTGCCCTTAGGCGCTCATGCCTTTGAAGTTGCTGTGTACCAAGAAAAAACGTTTATGTTAAAAAAGTGACTGAAATCGTCCTGCGATCGCATTGAATTCCGTTTGAAATCTGCACACAGCATTATCCCTTTCAACTCATCTATCCCAACAGAGTCGGTAAAAGAAGGAAAATACCCTTGTTCTGTTCAGTCCCTAATGTCAAGTAAGTTGATCAAATGTAATGTAGAAATAATATACAGGCGGGTAGACATTCAGTGATTGGTCGGTGCCATGGTGTGCATACTGAAGCAGGGCTGCGGTCATATGGACTCATCGCCAGAAAAAGAGTCCACGGGTGCTGTTGGTTGCAGGCAATTCGGCCTTTCCAGAAGAAAGTATCACAGCAAAAAGTACGCACAGAGGTACATGGGTATTGAGTAACTACTGATTTGGCCTGTGGGATGGTTGTACCGTTAATATGCATCGGGATACGGTCCTCTACCTCAGCTTAACAATAGAGAATGTCAGAAGCAATCAAACAGATGCAAGCACACTACAATTTGATAAACCAGTTGATCGAAGAGCGCGTATCACGAACCCGTCTATAGCGATTGGTGCGTGGATGGGAATTCATCTCACCTCCCAGCCTTTGGCGCAACGAACAGCTGATCCGACAACCCATTTCCTCTTTGCAGTGTCTTGCTTCAACAGTTCTTCTGTGTATGGTCACTGTTGCAAGATTTGTTCAGCAGCGCGATTGTCTAAGGCCAAAGGTATGTTGAGAAATGGTAATATGTGTTTTCTACTGACCCGAGTGAAATGACTACTGTTTCATCCTTCGGCAGTGAATTCATCAAATCTGTAGAGAAGATTCCCATGAGTGTCATCAGAAAGGAAGATTGCGACTGATGCATTTCATCAGCTTTATAGACATAAGAGTGCGTGATAATTCCAACAGATTCCAGTATGGCAGGGTACGTGACCTTCCAGAAAAACAATTGGAAAGGCTTTCTCGTAGACTAGGGTAAATTACCCGAACTCCTCTCAACTTGTTCCGTCAGCTAGTCCATTTAGCTGCACTTTTGATCTTACTCAACCTTGTGCGCCTGTACATTAGTTGAGGGACGAAGCACGAACGAAGTCTCCAAAGTAACTCTCTTATAATTGTGAGGAGGTTCATCTTCGGTGTGATAATTCGGATGGAGTAACACGTTCACCTCATATGTAGGTCGCCCAGAGTTCAACCTCCTTCACGGCTATTGGGCTTCCCCACTTTGGCTTAGACAAGGGACTAGTCAAAATCGAACGATGTGAATAGTCTCGATGAATCCCACGACCATATTTGTTAGTTCAACGGTCACATGGGCTAAAATTTATCCTAGAAAGCTTGCATTTGACCCGAACATTCCAATGACAGCCCTTGAGATACAAACGCATTGGATGGTGCGTGTTCACTTGCAAAAAGCTTTGCAAAGTAGGCTGGTGCTTCAGCTGCGGTCAGTTGACTTTTTTAGTATACAGTTATCCACAGTGTCAGCCATTGTCATCATCAGTCTGGTGAACCGAAGATACATGATCCGCTGCTTCACACCATTGGCTGAGCAATATATCTAGTGTAATTGACCATGGCTTGATTACTGTTCTAGGGGTGAACGTATATTATAACCTAATTTTGTGCGATGACTGATCACTTGCATCTATTCAGTTTTAGACAGTCATTCACAGAGAAGCTATATGCTTAAGACAGCAATGATAAACCGTTAAAGGGTGTTACATAATGACAATAAGCTCAGGTATTTACTCCGGGAGATGCGACAAATCACTTTGTCCATGATGACTTGCCTACGACGTGAAAGGACTTGTTGGAATGCAACGCTTGTCGAGTGGATTTTCTTAGTTTATTCATACAACGATAACTCCCAAAGAGCATGATTGTGTATTTCTCAAACGGCAGAGGCTAAGCACTACTGATCTAACAGGGGGGTGTGAAGCCTTCATAACCCGTAAATCCATTGAATCACGTCTTGCACCTAGATGCGAGGTCCATGTTAACGATAAATTCCAGGAAAAGTGCATTGTTCTTTTCAGAAGGATAGTTATACCAGGAAGAAATGAGTTTATAGTCCTTCAAGGCCATATAGGATCCTGATCAGAGTCTTAAGTAGGCATGTACTTGCTAGTCCAACCAGCCACTTGCATTCCACTCCCGAATCCCATTGGTCTTACAAAATGACAACTTGGTAGAACGCTCATATCCCACCGTGGAGTGGTTTCCGTTGATTTGCCGCCAAGTTCAGTTGATTTTAGCGGTGAGAAGCCTTCCAACATCCATGCGACTATCTAATTTTACATCTGAATCTCGCCAAATTTTTTAGTGTAGTTTCGTTAATCCTCTGCTTTGTTGCCACACTGCTGACAGGATCTTGTACGCATGCAACGCGCCCTAAAGTTTTGGAAACCAGTCACAAAGCCATCATACTATGGTAATATGTGCTTGAATTTGGCCAATATTTTCACGGTTATCACTGTAGTGATACATGTATCCATCGGCCCTCAACTTTGCAAGAAATTTTCGTGAGCGTGTAGGTGGGAGAAAGTTGTAGTGGTGTTTTCCAAAAACTCCTATTCAAAACGATCTTAAAGCCGCCTTTGCTGGACGCAGATTAAGTAAAACACGAGTCCCCCATGACTGCAAGTAAAATCAGGTCAGTGGAGCGAGCCCACTTGCTCTCATGACCAAGTAAACTTGCTCGGGAGAGTGCTTGGGTCTATAGTTATGTGGGACTGATCTGCAGGTGATTGTACGTGGTTTAGCTAAAGACGACATACCCCAGAATAAACATACAGGCCGCCTTCAGCTAATGTGTTGGTTCTAAGGAGGCAGTCAGTCCGAACTAACGCTTTTTCAGCATGCTGTAAAATGAGAAACAAGTGCAAAAATCGAACACAGGAAGGATGATCATGATGAGAGTTGCGAGATCAAACAACTAGTTCCGTATCGCAGCCGTCTCGCTGTACCGATAACAGAAGGGGTTGGAAAAATAAATTATATAAAAAATCGTTCGGCTGTAGCACCCTTTCGGTGCCAAACTGCCATTGCGCCCGTAGAAAACACTAGCGTTGTGATACTGCCAGGTTACCCAAGCCTAGACAGAAGAAGTTGTGAGGTAGAGATCGAGTTTCAACCGAAGACCATTCCGGCCAGTAAATTCGCGCTCCAACCACTAAGCAATCTCGCCCCACGGGGACTGGAAATTTGATATTTATGATACGGTGCCTCGAAACTGCAAGAAACACCATTAAAATATATAGTGGGTCTGTGAGAATGCAGCCAACAGAAGTGATTGTTCTCGACGGAATGCAGTTCATAAGGTCGTTGAAAACTCTTCAGAAAGCGTAGTGCTACACAAAAGCCACCTCGTGTTTTAGTACAATATTTGAGGTACGAAAGATTTGACAGAAAGCATTCCTGGAAAGGTCTTCAGTGACCTTGTGAGTAGTGTGTTCCGCGTTTCCTTATGTTACACTGCCACGATATGTCAAACGAGAAAATCTGTAGAAACCTACACAATAAAATCTTCCTTTATTCCATTCATACCATATCCGAGTCCAAAAAACTTGGTCTAGGGGTAATTTTAAATATGGGGAAATAACAACCGTATGTGAGCCCAACGGCAAGGGATCTTATAGTCGCAATTTTTGGGGTTCTGCGGGATAGGCATGTTGTTCATAGCCACACCACTCATTTGAACGGCCGTGTTCCTGTTCTGGGCGTAATTATTCCGGTGAGTCCACACCAAAGGGAAGCACTGGACTCGAGTTTCTCTCTTATTAGAGCTCATCAGCAGTGCATATCCAATGGCCGTGCCGGGATTTGAACCCCGGACTTCTGACATACGAGGCGAGCGTGTAACCACCACTCCACAAACGCACGTTGGACACATCTGAATTATCACGTCTGAACAGGCGAACGTGTTCACACTTGAGCGACTTTATAGTCCTTCAGATTATTTTAGCGAAAACGAAACGATATTTTATCGGTCGTGCTGTCTGGGATTCTATCTGAGTGACCCATCAAATTCTCTCGTTTTCCGGGGTGGTTTTAATCTTAGTGACGTCACACCACTTTTAGGTTGCTTAAACTCCACCCGATGCCGTAATTGCCCTTCTGGGGGCCTACTAGTCTATCAGAACTGTCTACTACATAAAAGTTTCGTTTTTTCCACTACTAGTTCTGTTAGATCTTTGAGACAGTCGTGTGTCGTTGCATTGCAGCATGTATTCTATGGCTTCTAGGCAACCAGACAAATATTTCTGGAAGGAAACGTTTCAACTTCAGTGGAGCAAAGAACACTCCTTTCTCTTCTCCATCCCTCAAATCTGAATTGACAGCACACTTCTTCCCATTGGTGTACTTTGCATCCTTGCTTGAATTCATCTACTTCTTGTTGTGCACAGATCGGAAGTAGAACTGCAGCCAGTTTTGAAATGCGCCCACAGTGTCCAAGTCAAAAACCAAATTGCGACAGCTTTCTAATAAAATGGACCTGACCGTTCGGGTCACTGTCCCCGACAAGCCCCGCAGTTTGTACGAATTCCGTTAAAACACCATTGTCAATGCCACTCCCATAACGAATGATGACTCTTCACTTGGTTAACTAGATTCCTTCTGTGGCACGATGTTCGTATCGTCGATATCATATCGAGTGGTGATACGTGCTCACATGATTTGGCTTCTCGTTCCGCAACTCTTCAACGAAAAAGGGACCACATTCCGGTATCATGCAAGGAACATCAAATGCATTTTCATCAGCCAGTGTATCGCACACGAATCCGAAAACGTAGATCACACCACTTTCCGCAAATGTATAGGGGCCAGAAGGAGCTTCTTGCTGGGTTGTGAAGGCATACGCATTGTGGAAACCTCCTTTCCGAGAAGGTGTTCTGTTTCAGCGCTAGCGTTCTGACACAACTGCTTCCATTTGATTACTCCATCAGGGCAGTTACCTGACCACAGACAAAGGCCCCTCGACTAACAGCCTATTAGCTGGTCACTGAAGTTGCAATATTGAGTCATTCCTTTGTGCAGTACCATATGAACAGTTATCCGCAGATGTCAATTGTCCCGTAATCAACCTTTCCCCACTATTGCGGAATTTCTTAGAGTAGTACCTTCACTGTAGTCACTTACCCAACCATCCTGTTGTCCCACCGGAAGCGTTTTGGAATCAGCGATTCAGCCCTGTGGGAACCACTTACCTTTAACTTTCCCTGAACAAGTCAAATCAGTGCGTTAGTTTAAACTGCGAACCCACAAGTCCGTGACAATCCTCATTTTGAGTTTGCATGTGGCGGGCTTTCCGAATGGAGTCAGAAGAGGACTGTAACAAGTGGGATAATCCATGCATAGCAGCTTTTTGAGACCACTGTAACGAACTGAAGGGAAGCTCACACTGACAGAGTTTCTGGATGCGTGTATATTGTTGGCAAAACACAGTCGTTCTGCATGTAGTCTGATGTTGTGTTCTACGAAAAACTACAGTAGACTGTCAAACATGGAGAGTAGAATCCTTCAAGCGATTGATCACTCCATGGTTAATTGCAAAGTACTGACTGCCAGCATCCAACATTATGTTATACCTCATGCCACAGACTAGAAGTTTCGACCAGTTCTTTTGATCCGGAAGCTCTTGAAATTCTCGTGCTTCGGTCCTCTTGGAGCACGCAGTTCTAGAGGTCCCTCTAATGTTCGGAGGAAGATAGGACTCTGAGTTCGGCAAATACACTCATTTGCAAATCAGTTTGATTTTCATTTGAGAATCAAGTGAATCCCTCGTTTATGATATTCCTCAACTGAATATGCTGCACAAAGACCACCTCATGTTTCAGTTGGTACGATATTCGAGATATCGCAGTATAGTTTCATAAGGGAAACTACTCACAAGGTTGCTGAAAACCCTGAGTTCATTTTCCCTGCGGCCCATCAATAGAGACCGTAAAAATTGCATTGCCCAGATGGTCACGGGCAAAGGCATATGTTCCGTGTGAACACGCGTGAGAATATCGAAATAAGTCAGCCAGGTGCCTCGTGAAGCGATATTCTTTAAATGGTGTGACTGCTTCGAAATTTGTTTAGATTGAGAGTAGAATATCTCAAATCGAACCCGCACTCCGTCGGCATATGCGTGTTTAAGGAAGCCAATTCAGCTGCACTTCACTTACAAGGCTTAGTACTTTTGGGGGGCCATTACTTGAAAATTTCAGTCTTGCGCTTCACTCCCACCTAATGACGTTGTAAAAACAGAAACCATAGGGTTCCTGCAGTTAGATTGGTGTTTAGCTGGATTAGAGAGTTCCACCATCCTCATCTGCTGCGACAATGCACTTGCGCTCGCAATGTGTGCAGGCTTCCCCATAGCTGTTGTGTCCAGGGCCACCATTCTTGATTGAAATGAGGACGTCGCTTTTATGAAACGCTGTAGGAGATTTATACCACTATAATTTTGTCAGCCAAACCTTGGTTGCCTACGAAGGCCAAATTCAAGATTCAGGTGCGAAAGTGGTGAGATGGGTGTGCAGTCTCATCGGAAAATTGTCGCCTAGCCGTAGGTTAGAGCCCTGTATCAGTTACAACGAAAATCGGGTGATCTATAAGGACTTGTCATTGAATTAGTTTTCAGAATCACAGCCTACTTGAATCTGTCTTTCAAAGGGAACTGCCGCATCCTGTGCTTAGTCACTTTCAGGACACTCCCCATTGAGTTCGATTTTATGAACGTTCACATTATCTTGTTGACTTCGCCTTGATTTCGAGCTTCAGTTCGCGTACAACTAAGTTAGTCACGATCTGGTACACGCTTGTTTCAATCAAGTTTTATGCCATCTAATAACCAAACCTAGTGCCATATCTTATTGTCGTGGAGGTAGATGAATTTCCGAAAAAATTATACTTGATCAGATACAACGACAAGCTCTAGATCATTTCTGTTTTACTACTAGATTCGCCTCTGTCTCAAGGACCACATCTTCGAAGAGCAATCAGAGGGATACTTCAGTGTGTTTTCTTGTTGAACGAGGAATCGTAAATTCAAAACTTCAGCAAGCAGTCACCTCAAATGAAGGATGGATCCTGGAGGATCTTGAAAATGCTTATTCTGTCAAAAGTCCGGCGTACAATGCAAATTTGTGCATTTTTGCACATTTAGCAGAATATAGTCGACCAAAGCTAGGTATTTACCCTGAACAATGTGGATTACCCTTGTGGATAAACAACGAATGTTCGTCAAGTACACTCATTTGCATACCAATTTGGTTTTCATGAGAGATTCGCCCGAATCCCAGCTGAGTCTCTCGTTTATGATGGAGGCGTTTTCACGCTGTCAGGAACAGAATATACTATGAACTTATGGGTAACGATTACACTATGCAAGTGAACTCATCCATACAGAAAAGCCGTCGGGTGCTGTACATCTGGGAATCATAATCAGGACGTATTCCACGATTTCTCGAAAGTTCTGATCTAATGACCTTTCGGATAAGAGTTCGTGCAGAGTACAAGGAGCAGTGTTGTGTACTCAGCGTGTCAGCGGCGTTGTGTAATCAAACGTATACGGTATTGGCCACACCTAGACTCAAGCTCAGCATCTGATTTTCATTAACTCTGATTTCTTTGGAAACAGAAAGACCGGTGAATTATTATCCTTTATGGGCATCACCTGTATTTTCCAAGTTATCGGAGGATTTCCAAGTTTCAAACATGGATTCCATCTTATGAGAAAAGCCTATTTGAAATGCGTGGAAGAACTGTGTAACTGTTTCATTTCTGTTTGAAAATGCCAAATATCGCCAAATATCCAGCAATTCTGAACGAAATCGTGAGCACTTCGGCAACAGGAATCCATATTAGATCATCGAATGAGCCAATCTGACCCACTTCAATTTCATGGGATATAACTAGTGGACGTATCATCACAGTGAAAGGCAAGGAGGGAAGGTTTGACTTTTTTCAAATTCTGAATCAGGGTGCATCGGAAACCTGGAGTGGAATCTAGAAACAACCATTTGTTTAGTAGTCTTAACTTTCTACGTATCTCCACATTCAAAGTGACAAGCTATAAAATATGGTGAGCATGACTTCAGCCTGATTAATTGTTTAAATTCAGTGACCAGTAGTCTTTACACACAGCAGGAAATCGATATTTGCAACTGGGAGCAAGAATTTACTTGACGGTGTAGTCCAATTGTGACCTTATACACTAGTATGCGAAGGCTATTTGTCAGATTATTTGATTGTTCCCAGTGAACCGCAAAAGCTCATGCCTGAAGGCTGTGCATCAATTTTTTGCGTGAATTTCTCGGAAATGCATTGTGAATAAGTGAGTGGGTTGGGGATCGTTTGTTTTCAATCCTCAAGTGTTCTTGTACTACTCTGTCTGTACCAACGCATGATGGTTTGTTATAGCCCTGTACAATAAAGACTGCTAACCAGGGTATGCTCTCGGAAAGTTTCTATAAAGGAAACAGGGTCCTCGAGCACCGTGCTACCAGATCAGTTTGTGAACCATGTACCATTTAGATTCACCTGCCAGTTCGAATTTGACATTTGCCTTAGCAGGGTCGCCTGAACTTGGTTAGTGATGGGTTTTTCGCTTAGTTCTACCGATATTTTATGTTATCGAGACCACTCGGACGGTGAAATTCATCCTCCCTCCTCATCCGACATCTGAAATGCTCATACTCGCTGCATCCTCAGATTTAGTTATCTCGTGGTCAAATAAATAACTGGAAGTGGAATGGGCTGTTTGACAGAAGTTGTGCCCTTATCATGTCAGCCTTCGTCCGACTGGGATGCACATCGTGCTGAAGCATAATTACGACTTCCATAGCCGCACGGAATTAAGAAGATTGATGAAGAACGTGAATGTACCTGTCTGTCGGAGAGATGCTGACTACAGTCGTGTTGATTGACATACTGGAACTACCCAATGGTTACTGAAGGACACAACAATAGGTCTTCGGTTATCTGTCCCTTCTGTTGCCGTCCAGTCACCATTCACTCTGTCGTCGGAGCTGCATTCCTAGAGCAAGCGTTGTAGTTTGGGAAACAGATTTTTCTAACCTCCAAACAATTCTCTAATCTTCCAGCATGTTGGAAGCGACAACTCATCAACCCTGCAAATTACCTGTTTTCCTTAGACAGTGGATCATTCATCGTCCCAAGACTTTCAAATTAACATTGCAAATTCGGTGCATGAAATGACAAATCTGACACTAAGACCTCCTCCACATACGTTGATTTGCACTGTTTAACGTGTTTACTCAGGGACCGTCTTCATATATTGTTTATTTTTGAAGAGCATGGTCATAGACATAAAGTGGATACCAGTGATGGATGTTAAAGGGTTACAGGAGAATATTAAATAAAAAGACAGAAGCGTCTCATTCGAAGTCATGCCACCAACAGTTCCAGTCACACAAGATGAACTCCAACGTATGTAAGAATGGTTGGTGTAGACCAACAACACAAGAAAGGACAAACGGTCCTGAATGCTCTTTAAGGCGCGATAAGCGGTAGCACAGTCAAGACTCGCGCATCAGGAACAAAGTGTCCGTCATATTGGGTCTGGTGCGACAGTTAATGGCAAGAATGTACACCCAACTCCATGTACCACGTATAAAAGGAAGCCCACAATGGCAAGCGAACACAATTCACTGACTGTGACCTTAGGAAGTCCCAGTCCTATACCAGCCTTGGCGGGTTGAATGAATCAGTTCCCCCGATGAGAAACGATCAACGGTTGGTGGACCAAAAAGTCGACATCACACCCATTCGTCCGCACACGTCCATGTGCACCGAGTGTGCCAGGTTTTACTAGGACAGTTTTGTCTTTTTTTTAGCATTTACGCCTTTTTTCATCAATAGGACTAATGTGAATGGGATATACTTACAAAAGTAGTTTGTTACCAGTAGCTGACTTATTCAAGTGTTTCATCCTCATCGTCACCAAGGCGTTCAAACCCGTGACTCATCGGCTAGTGATTGAAGACTAAACCGGTCAGCCAGGAGGAGCTGATCAGGGGTGTGATCAGCTCTCAGTTAGACAGGACAACGTGCCACTCATCCTTCAATCACAGAATCCACACCACGTGGTCGCATGTTAATTAGTTCCTCGAGTGACGACTTCTCAATCAGAATTCCCACCCATCGTCTAAATAATTCTTTATAAGCTACTTGTTTTGATAGTGTGAGTAAGTCCGGGAATTTTCAATGGGGATTTCTTCCTGTAAATGCTCAATATATCTGAAAATCCAAGAAGTACGGTGAGGCTGTTATTGGGAATCATCAACAGTGAACGTCTCACGAAACTTCGGGAAGTTTTGAGACCCCAAGCTCCCCACTAGTAGTCGAAGAGTCGCGACTTTGAATCTCACTGAGGTTGTGTGAGAAGCGTACTCCATAAAATGGTCCAAGTTTTCCTCGCATTACCAACAATCTGGACAATAGCGAACAGTCAGGACGCGCTGTTAAATGATTATCCCGGAGGATTGGACGGGTGCAAAGTCATCGGGTCGTTACCTTCAGTTAAGGTATGATCGGATCACTAAATCTCAGTCATACAAAGTTATCTGGATACTACTGATCATAAGGGAATAGACCATGCAACCCGGTAGACACGTGTTTGGACCGGACGGTCCAAAAGACCAATCCACCTAAGCCCACTTAGTGGGTCTCCACCACATAACGGCAACCAGTGACAGCCTTACCACTGCTCTAATAATTGTAGGGGCCTCCGCGACTATCGAAGATCGCACAGATACAACGGTCTGAGTGTTCCCCAGAAGTGAATTGGCCTGGAAATGTCAGTAGCTGGTTAAAACGAAGTGTCACATAGGGGTCAAATTTCCCACTTGAACTGCCCGATCGGGAGTTAAGTTCATTTGAAGAACTGGGTGCTAATTCAGGTTTCGCTACTGACAAGTTCATACTTTCAGGCCAGTTTGAGTTGTTCTGTTCAGTGACCCACAAGAAAGTGTTACACGCACACATCTGCCTCCATCATACTGTGTCCGAGGGAGCGAGCTAACAGGCAGATGATGTGAGCAATGACAACATGGAGTGCGGTATGGTCAAGAGAACACCGCGCCGAACCGTCTGTGATTTCTGCCCAAGCGTTGGAACCTGTAATAAACGGTGTAGAACAAGTTGCATGGTTCATTCTTCATGTCTGACCGCCTAATGTAGAGTTCTTCAACCCGCCAATGGAGCCACCAGATCATGTTACAAAAACGTACAATTACAGTTGGGTGTTTCTTGGCCTCCCGGTCCTTGGGAAGATGTAAAGGATTTCACTATACATGGTTGAGGCTACGCTATATTGGATCCTGAGGATGATTCTGCCAAGATCCCAGAGTCTGCTGTCAGAAATGTTGCGTTATAATCCATGACTCAGCGGAACTGATTGAAGTATGTCGAAGGCACAATCGTTTCTTGAGCTAATATAGTGATTTTTTCCGGTGCAAAGAGTAGAACCGGTCGTCCATTCGGATGAACTAATACCAGGAAGCCGTGGGATATTCAGTTGATCATCTTTCTGAGTAATTCTCTGGCCAACTTTGATGTTTAAATGTGGGATTTCGACCACAGTTTTTACAATCCTATGTGCACTGTTTTATGACTTGGCATAAACAGGAATAACGCTCAAGTGTTCACCGGTAGAATCATCCGAAGTTATGAAATTTCCCAATTTTATTACGAAAATTTCGGCAAAAGTAGGTGATGTGTTTGACGTCAAAATTAAAACATGAACACCGCTGGTATTTCTCACCTAGAACTCATGATGGCATCGGAGACCATTCAGTTAGAAATTTAAAAAAAACTGATGTAAATAAAATATAGTCAAAACACTAGATTTTCTGTGAACTAACAACACAGCCTCCATATGGAGATATGCTGTACGCGAAGAAACACCCAACCCTGAATTCCCCAAGAATCCGAGGCCTCTCGGTCAACAACAAAACGCTGTATCACCCTACGGATGGCTTCAAATCCCTTCAATATCCGCAAGTAACCTGTTCATCCCATCTGAGAAGTTTTCACTCGAGGAGCTGACTCGAATCGGATCACATGGAACAATTTGCCTGAAACGGGGATGATGACGCGGGTTGACCGCACGACGCATCGACAACCGGTAAACTGTCGATAAATCGATCACACTCAGTCAGTTCAAATCTCCCTACGGGCTTGTGGGGGATACTATGCTGCTAACTCCCAGGAAAAGTAAAATAGCAGCACAAACCCAGAATAGTTCTACCCGGCTTACGTTCCACATTCCATCATTCATTTGCTGAGCCTTGGCCGGTTCATAACAAGCTCAAATGAGAAGTAATGTTCGACCGTTTGTTCATTCACCTATGTCGCAGGATCCTTTCGGATAACTCTCTCACCATTTTCATTACGGTAGCAGGCCTAGTGCACTTCACCGTAGGTATCTCACGCTCTCAGCCAACCAGCTGTAGTCACTTACCTGAAATTCTAGTCATATCATGGGTAAACTAATGAAATTTTTGTGAACATCTGCGGATCACACCTGTGACAGATGTTTCATTTCCCGAATACAGAGACAAACATGCTGTTATCCGTGTTTTCATACTTAACGCTGTTGTAATCTGTCACTGTTTTTCGGAGTGCACAACCACCGAGCTAAATGGGCGGGACTACTGTCGCTCTAACTTCGTCAAAACATTTGGAGGCTGCTTCTTGCAACTCAGAGGTCTCCTGTGTTTGGGGGAGAAGCGCTATATTTCAGGTGGTTTTGAAATCAAGCCGTAAATTTGGAGAAAACGGTTCAGTGTGGCAGTTCTCCGAGGCTTGGATCTATTTCACGAATGCACTTTGTGACCGCTCCAACTCTCCTATCTAATGTGTAGTAATAGCGAACTATTGAAAAAGAATTAAGTCCAGCCTCCATGAAACACGCTGATTTGTAAGACAGTTTGGTTCTAACGGGACAGTCAACCGAAAGCCAGCTAGATAGCTGGTTTAAAATGGTCTTCTCCAACTCAATGCTCCGCACAAGGTAGCCTTACGTTTCAGTTGGTGCGACAGTCAAGACGTTGGATTACCTTTTCTTGAAGAACACTGCTTTTGTGGCCAGTTTCCCTCGAAAAAAGCAAGTCTAAACGACTTTCGAAGAGTTGAACTCTGAACTTGAATTTTAAGCAACTTTAGTAGACCTGTTGGTTCGACTGAATCCTCATTCTCTAGGTGGAAGCATGAAATTCGAGGTCATGGGAGGAGTTCAACAAAACAGAGCTCAACTCCTTCGGTTCATTCGTCGTTTGAATCACAACTACAGCTCAAGAGTTTGCCCCGAGAGCCACTGTATGAGCATGCGCCTTGCACACACTCTGGCGGTCTGGGGCGACTATATTACGGCCAATGTGTGTGTGTGTGTGTGCAGTGATCCATCCACTTGACCCCTACTTGCCAAAAAAAGGCAGCTTTCCCTGACACAACCTTTGTGGCTACTGCACAGCCATTTTATAAGTCTGATGACATGCCACGAAGGCCTAAACCGACACTGGGCTGTCGAAGGGTTCTCAGCAACCTCACGAGTAGTGTGTCCTGTCAAGCAAATGACCGATTTATTCCATTAAACCACTTACATCCCAGCCAACCCATAATCAATTTAATATATAACATGATTGATTTTTTTACTCAATCTTGTAAGCAGATTCATCGGTTTGGATTCAGTGTGAAGGAGAAAAGCAAAGTAGAATATCATGTAGTTTCACCTAGTTGGTAGAAACAAAAAGGTCATACTGCTAGGCCATTCGATTGTTTCAATTTCAAATAACTTTAGATGTGGCCGACAGGTGTTTTGTGGACCTATCACACTGACTGCACTATGCTCGTTTCTGTTGTTGTCAACTCAGTTCATCAGAGGTATACTTGGCAATAGCCACGTCAGACTGAAGGGCGGACTGGACTGTGCATTCCTGCGGTGAAAGTTCGGACGAAATGACAGANTTGGTGGAGCAGTCAAATTGAGCTTGTCTGGTTTGAGTCAAAGCATTCGAATGTCTACTACAGAGACATCGATCTGAGTTCGTAAGAGTGAGTAGCTATTTGATTCTGTCGTTGGGTGTAAATAACATATACACTTCCCCGCTCATCAGTTATGTTCGCGTTCCCGTCACTGGACAGTACTC